GGTGGGCTGCACCCAGCCCCAGCCAGGGAGGCAGAACACCAGGCGTGAACTCGCAAGAGACTGACCTGGCAACCGATGCTCTTACAATGGAAATGACGTGTGGTTTCCGTGTCGGTCCTCAGCTCCATGAGGCTGCGCCTCACCCATCTCCGTGGCCTTCAGCCACCGGAGAGCTGCGCCTTGACTGACCTGGGGTGACAGAACATCAAGCAGCAACTGGGAATGGCAAACTCCAAGCGGAAGAAAAGCAGAATTGAAAATTTAAACAACATCTTGCCAGGCAGCAGATGAAAGGGCAAAATAATCTTGGCTAATTCTACCCTTGCAGAATCAGAACATGGTCCCCAGCACAGTCTGACGCATCCAGGACACCCATGTGCAAGGGCAGCATCCCGACGGGACCAGAGCCGGAGTTACGCTAAGGACAGGCTGCCAGCACCAGCCCTGCCAAACGACTGCGTGAACTCAGCTACCCGGTCTCAAAAGCAGCAGATCTCTTTGCCTCCTACGGAAAAAACATGAAACAGCTGGGGAATTACTCTGAATTACTAAATTCAGAGAAACAGTAGGGACGCGGCTGGCTCCCAGCCCAGCACCCCCCTGGGAGCTCAGCGCTGGCTGAGGTCGAAGCGCTCCCAGATCTTCTGGAGGAGAAATTAGGAGGCATCTACCATGGTACAGGAACACAAGAGAATTTGAAGAGTCGGTAATCTGACTGAGCTTCATCAGAGAAAGCATGGCCAAGTTGAAACAAAGAGTTCTAACGACTCTGGTGACACGGACCCTCTGAGCCACCACGCCGCGTGCGAGAGCCTCGCTCAGCAACAGCCACTGCAGGCACCAGCGGGACCACTGCAAACCCAGAATGCAGCACCAGTAAAGGCTTAACGGGGCAGCCAGAGCACGAGGCAGAAGCCGAATTAAACACCATTTTCCTGCACGGCTGGGAGAGATTGAACGTTACGCAGCAAAGCGAAAAGCAGACTTGGAGTCTGGCCGGTACCAGGCTCCCCTCCAGCCCACGCCCCTCACGGCGCCGTCCCAACAGCGCGCTGCTGCGTGTTAATGACTGCACACAAGGCCAAGCTGCCCTTGGCTCATAATCCGTTCATTCCCCCAACTTCAGGAGCCTGAGCTATTTCACACAGAACCAAGACATGAGCTCGTGGCGTGTGGCGTTCCCAGGCTCACCTCATCTCAAGGCCCCTTCAGAGGCGGCAGTGTATCTGCCCAGGTGGGTCTTGTGACAAACCCTGGGCCGCGTCCCGGTTTCCTTCAGCAGATGAGCGAGTGCCTCGTGCTGCAGGAGCAGCTACCGGTGCGCTGCCAACCCCTGCACACGCAGCAGGCAGCTCTGCGACGGCGTGGACGCCAGAGGAGCCAACAGCTGGCTTCCAACTTCTCTCCCGGGCAGTCTTCCCCACCCTCTCCAATAGCAATTTCTGCAAAGAGAACACGCAGAGTCTGCTAATTACAGAGGAGATGAGGGCTGTGCCCCCTCGATGAGTCTGCAAAGCGTTTCACACCCCTCGCACCGAACGCGAACCGTGCAGGAGTGACCGGACACGGCGAGGCCGCAGGACAGCTCTTCCAGCAGTCACGCGCCAGAGATGCAGCTGCAGAGCACACGCCACCTCCACGCCACCCAACAACGCTGCTGTTCTTCACACAGCAACCGCTCCAGCCAGTTCCCGTGTTACAGTAAAGAGAACCTTTCACGTGACACACCGACGCCCTAGTTGTACGTATTTGTGTTTTTTTAAGCGGGATTAGAGAAGAGCAGCTGTTCTGCTGTTTTCAAAGCAAGCTGGGAGAGAAGCAACGGGGCTAACTCGCACCGTGGAAGTCACACAGCCCGTCCCCGGAGCTGCGAGATGACGACACAAGTCGTGGTTAGCAGAGACCAGCGGCATCGGACGGGCCACGGGCACCGGCGGCAAGCACGTCCAAGGCTCCAGATTTCAACACCGCCGCCGCACGTACTCTGACTCAGCCTGGGTTATTCGCCGCAAGCCAGTGCAAAAACCCACACGTAAGCTGGGGAAGCCACAAGAACACACGATGGAAGACGACGACGCTTAATTAGGGGTTGACAGCATTTTCTGCTTAAATATGTGGGTGAGAAGAGACAAAGTGACAAAAGCTGCTCCGATCACTTTTAGCTTTTTTAATTACAGAAAACCTTTCCCAGAAAGCCCTGAGGTTAACTCAGCTACAGCAACACTGAAAAACTCCAACAAACAAGCGCCAGGCTGCTTAGGAACAGAGTATTTCTAAGACCTACCTACAGAAGGAAGAACCCCAACATTACCTTGATATCGCTGGCTCTCGGGGGGCTGCTGGGAGAGGCCAGGCTCCCCTCCCAGCGACCCGGTCTGCTGCCTACTGGGAGAGGCGGTGGCGAGCCTGGGAAATCCAGCAGCTCCTCGTCCTTCAGGCACGCAGCTCCCGGGGCGGGTGGGCGAGTAACGCCAGGCTGCTCTGCCGAGGAGGCCAGGGCTGGCGAGGGTCGAGGCAGAACTCGCCCCACACAGGCCACCAGCTTGGTTTTTCTCCACAACCCTCGTCTTTCTTGCGCTTTTGTTGTTTCCTTTTGGCACTAAACAGCCTCTTGTTTCCCGTCCCTCGCAGTGCCTTGGTTTGCCTTCCTGCTGCGCCCCTGTCATCTCCCTGCAGCGAGGGCCTTGGTGCAGGGCACGGAGGGCAGCCCGGCGCAGGCAGGGGCTCGGCACGGCACAGCACGCGTTCCCACCCCAGCACCCCTCCCGTCCCAGGAAAACGCAAGCGGCTGCCCTCGTTTGTTGGAGGAGCACGGAGCGGAGCACCATCAGCAGGCAGCAAACGCAGAGCTGGTGCTTGTGCCAGCAATTCTGCCTTGCCAAAGACTTACAGAAAATGACAATATTTTGCTCCTTTGAGTTTCTGCACCAGCCCCAGATGAATTCAGAAATGGCAAAATACCAGACAGAGGCATTGCCCCGATAACAGCTACTTATTGGGAACCCACAGCAAACAACGAGGGCTTTGCACCTGCACAGGGCTTCAAAAACAGCCTCTGCGCAGCCCCACGGACGTGCTCACAGACGTCCAGTCCAACGTGACTAAGAAATTCTGTTCTCGTGCTGCACAGGGCGCAACGTTTTCTGACCCGTACCCCAGTAACGCTTGCGGTTCCCATACGCACCGATGGGAACCGACCTCGTGCCGGTGAGGTCCCAGCGCACACGCCGGTACCGCGTCCATGGCGGGAGCGAGGCACCTGCCAGGCCTCTGTAGATTAATCCTGGTCTACAGGAATACGGCTGGCAGCCCAAAAATATGAACGGGAACAATAAAACGTGACCAAGACGCAAGCAGCCCGCGATGAGCACGCCCATGTCAGCGTATCGCGCCGCCGGGGCAGACCTATTTCTGGACACGAATGGCTGCGACTGAAAGCAAGAAAGCGAACGCTGGAATTCCTG